GGGTGGAGGGGGGGTGGGGAGGGGTGAGGAGGGGCGGGGGGGAGTTTCACTTTTGCTCCATAGCCCCCCCTCAGCCCCCCCTCTCTCTCTTCCAGGCCAACAGTTTAATTTCCACTTTGCTGATTGGTTCTTTATTGACCTGACATCAGAGAGAGGAGCGTTTGTTACGAGGGAAAGAACAGACACATTTTTCATCCTACGACAGCTTGGAACGAGCAGCCGAGTTGAGTTTAGGTTTGAAGTATTGTTATAGTACTTGTGACTGAAGTACTAATATCGTATCGACTTTTGAACGGATAAATTCAACTTTGACCCTTTTACAAACCTGTGGCTCGTGAAAAAACTGGAAGCTGATTGGCTGAGCAGATGTTGGTGTGAATTAGTGTGAATGAGTTTTCACCACCGTCATTCACGTGTATTCAGACCTGTGTGTCGTACACCAGAGGTCACCAGAGGTCAGTCAGTTTATGATACGGCTCATCTCATTGGACAGTCGTGGATCCATGACCTGTCAATCAAATGTGTTGAAAAAAAGAAATGTTTAAATATAAATTTTGGCGTCGATGTAGAGTGAGAGAAGGTTTCTGTCAACGGTTGTTTAAACCTGTCCTTGTTATACTGTGTGTGTGTCGATGTGTGTGTGTCGATTGTGTGTGTGTCCTGTGTGTGTGTCGATGTGTGTGTGTCGATGTGTGTGTGTTGATGTGTGTGTGTGTTGGCTTGTAAGTTATGAGCTGCTGTGCAGGTTAATGAAGAGCACTAAATGAAATCCTTTATTGTGTTTGATATAATGTCAGCTTCCATTAGGGAAACTGGTGCGAGGAGGAATGATTGGTGGAGGAAGAGCTGCTGAGTGTGTGTGTGTGAGTGTGTGAGTGAGTGTGTGAGTGTGTGTGTGTGTGAGTGTGTGTGTGTGTGTGCACCCCAGGGTATGGCAGAGGCATGGGGTGTCTTCTGTTGTTCTGTAATTATAAAATCATTAGCAGGTATTCAAATGTCAACCTGTCTCTTCCAGCCTTTTCACTGATTTAAATTCCTCAGATTTATTTTCATGGACCTCGTGAGCCCAGACTCATGACATCAGTGGGTAAACTGCTGCCGCGGCGTCGAACCGGCAACACTTCAGAATTCAATGTGTTTTCTTCAGCGGTCGGTCGTGGAACTTCAACGACTAAAGCAGAAGACGTCGGACTCTGAGTCCGGCGTCTGGTCGGACCGTAAACCCAGCGCACGTCGTAGCCCCGGTGAGGAGACAAAGTCACATTGTTAATCCAGTGCAGCGGGGACGGTTGCCATAGCAACAGTAGGCATCCAACCTGCTGTTGCTCTGGCTGAAATCTGAAATTGCCACGAGGAGGTCGGGTATTGAGGAAAGAGAGATTGGAAAAGATGGAGATAAGACGGGGTGGGAGGAAGGACGAGGGTGAGGACGAGGGAGGAGGCAGATCAAGATAAGAATGAGGGGGGGAGACGAGACGAGGGGAGGGAGGGAGGGAGGGAGGGCAGGAAGATGGATGTAACAGAGGGGCTGGAGATCATCACCTGACCTTAGTGTTTGTCCCGTTTGAAATTTGTTGGTCCACTCAGGATGATAGATTTAATTTACTGATAGGACGCAGGGAGTGTGTGTGTGTGTGTGTGTGTGTGTGTAAATGCTTACCTCTGACCTTAAAGGTGTGTTGTCACTGTACAACACACATCATTGTCTGTCATTATGGAACATCATGTCAGTAATTAATTCTAAATTCTCTTTTTTTGACAAAAAATGACAAAAAAAAACTGATGAAAATGTTTGTCTGATTTTAAAAGTCACATTTCAGTTTCCTCCTAGGACAGTGAAGGCATCACTGGTGTAAGTCTACCTCTGATAGTTGGTGGAGTCATTTGGATTGAACGACACCAGCGTGGGGGGGGGAGGGGTTGGTACCAGACGTGTGTTTAATCCTGACCTTGAGCCCCTGGTGACCCAGCAGCCTCCAGGGCCGTTCAGAGGGCTGTGGTGGTCTACGACCCCCCCCCCCACACGTAGACCCCTCCTCTGAGATCAGCTGTAACTGGTGATGTTGGTGATGGTGACACAGTGATGTTGTGACGGAGGGTGTTCTCCTCCTGAGTGTGTCGTTTGTTTGAGTAAAGAGACCGGACGTCACCCCAGAGGGACCAGAACCAAGTGTTTATTTACAGGAAACAGCCAAGAATAATGACTTGTAATGCCGCAGTACTCAGAGTAAACACTTGAGGAGCGGGGGGAGGGGGGGGGGGGCCGGGCGGGGGGGGGGGGGGGGGGGCAGCTCTAAATCTGTTATCAAAATTCAGTTCAATACCTTCATTTTTTTTTTAACTAACTGTTTTCCCTTTTCCTCCCTCACGTACAATTCAGATTTC